AATACATCAACACCCAACATTACCTACCCTGTTATATATTCTTTATCTGAAAACTTTCAAAATTGATATGCCATATACAAATTTTACTGTGCATCATTTTTTTTCCTGTGAGCAGTTTAGAGATAACACTGGTGTATAAAAGTGGACATTGAAGTCAACACCAAGAGACGACAGTCTATTTCATACTTAATGCATGGACTGTCTTTAGAATGAAAGAGACTGTTGTCTATGGGTGTTGACTTACTTCAATGTCCACTTTTATATTTATATTTACATATGCTCTATCCCTGATATTGAGCACTTTAACCCATAAATATAGCTTACTTAAAACTATATTTTATCATATATATATATATATATATATATATATATATATATATATATATATGTATATTTTGTTTTCTTTCTGCTTCCTAAGTGAGTCAGGACTTTCTGGCCAACCTTATATATGTTAGACCCAGTATCAAACCTGACATCTTGATCTTATCAACCTGGGAAGATAAAATTGATATGCCATATACAAATTTTACTGTGCATCATTTTTTTTTTCCCTGTGAGCAGTTTAGAGATAACACTGGTGGATGGGCATCATTACTGGAAAGTTTTCTTCTGAAATTCCCCAGCCCCTTCATAGAACATCCACCAACCACTGCTGTAAACTAAAAAGAAATGAGCAAACTATACAAGGTTTGCAAACCAGAGTATCAACTGTCCTTGGAGAGTCTGTTCATCAAGTCCAAGAACAAAAACAAAACATTTTGATAAAAGCTATTAATATATCCTCTTTAAACAGAGTGAAGGTATTTTACAAACATTTACACAGTTAAAGATAACACATCTTGCAAGCCATGTTATGAAAGCTGAAAAACTTGGGTGACTATTTGCAGAGGGTGTAACAATCTAAACATCTCCCAATTGGCTTAACAATCAAAATAAATAAATTGAAAAAGTTACAACACATTGATTCCTGTATAGTGATCATATGGTGCAAAAAGAAGACTACTTTTTAAATAACAAATCTCAAAAATGACCTAAAATCTGTTGCTATCTGGGGCAAGAAATGGTTTGGCAATTTTAACCACATGAAAACATATGCGTATTTTAATATATTTTCTATTTATACATTATTTTTATTGATACAAATATTTAAGTAAATGCTCTGTTTATAATAAACAGTATTAACAACATTTACTGGCCTGAATGTCTGAGAAATTTCATAGAAAATATGTGTCCTCCAATAGGAATCGAACCTGTATCCTACACGGAACCATCATATAGCCTCATATATGTGTATAAAAGTGGACATTGAAGTCAACACCAAGAGGCGACAGTTGATTTCATACTTAATACATGGACTGTGTTTAGCATGAAACAGAATGTTGTCTCTGGGTGTTCACTTCAATGTCCACTTTTATATTTATATTTACATATGCTCTGATATTGAGCACTTTAACCCATAAATATAGCTTACTTAAAACTATATTTTATCATACACATATATATATATATATATATATATATATATATTGTTTTCTTTCTGCTTCCTAAGTGAGTCAGGACTTTCTGGCCAACCTTATATATATTAGACCCAGTTTCAAATCTGACATCTTGATCTTATCAATCTGGGAAGGCAATCGTAGCATGCGGCACCTTTTGAAAGTACCTGTAAATTATATCACAGGTTGAATCAAACATTGTGAATGGAATTGTCGAGACACAAAGAAGAAAAAGAAAAATCAACCTGACAGATAAAAAGCACATAATTTTTTTTTTAATTTATTATAAAAATAATGAAAATGAGAAAATCAGTAGTCAATTGTTGAAACCTCCTGACGAGTGGACTGAACGATTTCAAAAGTTTTGTCTTCTAAACTCTGGAGTCAGCATGCTGAATATAATATCAATTAACTAAATGACAAATTTTAGGCCAGATGATTCTGTTTAGCATGAAACAGACTTTCGCCTCTGGGCATTGACTTCAATGTCCACTTTTATATTTATATTTACATATACTCTATCCCTGATATTGAGCATTTTACTCCATAAATATAGCATATACTAAAACTATATTTTATCATATATATATATATATATATATCAGTCTGCCTACTCTTATTGTGCATCTCTCAGTTACAATCTGTTCATATATATTCATCTGTCTATGTCTGTGTACATTTATATATCTATCTATCTTGCTCATTGTTAATATCTATCTTTCAAGCCTGACGATTGCATTTAGCATGAAACAGTCTGTTGCCTCTTGGTGTTGACTTCACTGTCCATTTGTATATTTATATTTGCTCTATCTCTGATATTTTGCATTTAACCGATAAATACAGCATACCATAAAACTATATTTTATCATATATATATGTGTGTGTGTGTGTGTGTGTGTGTGTGTGTCTATCTGTCTATCTGTCTGTCTTTCAGATCATTGTTATCTATCTCTATTTATCTATGTGTGTGTGTGTATATTAATCTGTTCATATCAGTCTGCCTAATGCCATTGTGCATCTCTCAGTTACAATCTGTTCATATATATTCATCTATCTACATCTGTGTACATCTATCTATCTATCTATCTATCTATCTATCTATCTATCTATCTATTGCAGTCTGTGCATACCTATCTATCTATCTATCTATCTATCTATCTGTCTGTCTGTCTGTTTATCTTCTTCATTCTGTTAATATCTATTTAGCTAACTTGCTACCGATCTATCTGTCTAGCTACCTATCTTTCAAGCCTGACGATTGTGTTTAGCATGTTGAAACTGTTGTTTCTGGGTGTTGACTTCAATGTTCACTTTTATATTTACATATGCTCTATCCCTGATATTATGCACGTTTACCCATAAATATTTACTATATTTTATATTTTTATCATATATATAAAGACAAAAGGAAAACTTATCTTAGCCGATGCGTTTTGTCCTCTGATGGACTTTATCAAGGCAAATGAAAGGATTTTATTTTGCAACAAGTATTTACAAACAAAAGTAAAATTGGTAGTTTTTCAGAATCTATTATTTTTTTACCAATTTTGATTTGTTCACTTGGTCAAAATGGCCAACTCTCCTATTTTTAAATATTTTACAAATCTTTTGTTTTGTGTTGAATATGAAATAATTAGGATATTGGAAAAACTTAAACATATTTTCAATGTATTCCTCTTCTTCATGTAAATATTGAGGGTTCTTACATAGAATCTGATGATTATTATCGGTTTTATTTTGTTTTTATGGTGAGAATAGAAATTTATGAGATCATTTTTATTAGTTGATTTGTGATGAATGTGTTATAGATTTCCCTAAAATTGTTCCTAATATATGAAATGTATATATTGTTTTTCCATATATATATATATATATATATATATATGTTAATAGAAATCTTATAAGTATAAGAAAATATACTCACTCGGAAAACATTCGGTGTCTTGAATTGCAAATAAACAAGCCAATACCAAAGGGAAAAAAAAGGTATAAAAAAAGAAAGAACTAAGAACATGTACGTTAGCCGAAAATAATTGTCCAGCATGCAAATCCAAGGCCCAAAGAAAAAACCCCTGATGCGAGTACCCAAAATAACTAAATAAAATGCTCAATACAATGAGTAGAGCAGACCTAATTAAACCTAGAGAGCCAAACAAACCTACCAAGATGATCCGCTTAGGTGAAACTTTGGTAGGTTTCTCTGGCTCTCTAGGTTTTACTATATATATATATATATATATATAGTGGCTGTCGACTCACAAAGTGAGTATGACCATCACTGACATGTCCAGCCCTTCACTTAACCTCCCCCCACCCAACACTGCATTCATTGGTTGTGTGAATGACAGTGGCTCATAAAGCCAGCCACTGATCTGCATTTCTTGTCACATATGTGGCATATCAAATCATGTTCGGGTAGTGGAAGTTGACTTTGATCCTCATCACTTCCAATGTGCCTTTTCATATGCCTTGTCAAGCTTGAACTAGATTTGCACACCCTAGTGCAGGTCGGGCATTGAAAGTATGCTATTATGAAATCATTAGAAACAATATATATGCCCCTGAAAAAATAAAATTCAATCAACCACTTTAGAGGGAAAGTGCGAATTTGTAAACAGTGACTGCTACTGCTGATAATGCAAAGCTCTTCTATAAATCAAGCTCTCTGAGTCACTGGTGTATTTATTTAAAAATAAATATGTAAAAATTCACCTTCCTTTCTGCTGGGAGCTGATAGCTTAGGGGAAAAATCTATGACTGATTTAGCATCAGTTGGGTTTCGATCCTAGCTTGAGGCAATCATATGTAAACATTCACATATTACTAAAATTCTCTGATGGACTGTATCCACAAAATTCTTGTGTTTGCCACTATTGAATCTTACCAAATTATAAATCTGTTTCAAATATCTCCTTTCCTAAAAGAAACACTTCTTTCCAAAACCAATATATATGACTATAATTTTTTTTAATTGAAACAAAAAGATTAAATTCAAAACCTATTATTTAAAATATATAATAAATTAATCTCAAACTAAAATAAAATAATTACATTATAAAAAATTCAACAACATTTACTCATTTTTGTTTATTAGACATTAAGTTATGTCACTTAGCATCCTCCATAATTTACCTTGACTTTTAGTTAGCCTGATGAATATTTATAAGGAGGCCCAGTGGAGTAATGGATAGCAGTTTAGATTGAGGAACTGGAGAGCTGAGTTCGAATTCCAGTCAAATCCGTTACATTCACTTACATGCTAATACCATTGGGAAAGATAGGGATCTTCTTCTTCTCCCTCCAGCTATGGGTAAATAGCAGTTCAAACAGGGTTCTATAGCCTTGGATGGCAACTGGTCTACAACAGAAAGTAATGGCAACCTAGTGCGGGAAAAAATCTGCCTCGTCAGTCATGTATCAAAAGATACATGATCGCCTAAGCATGTATCACACATGGCACACTGATATTTATAAGTGTTCTTAAATTTAAAAATTCTGTAAAACTATCTACATTTTTTACTTTATAAAAACTTGTTGCAAAATAAAAGCCTAACATTTGCCTTGATAAATTCCATCATGGAATGAAACATGTCAGCTAAGATAAGTTTTTCTTTTCTCTCTTTATATATACATACATATATATATATATATATATATATATATATATATAGATATAGAGAGAGAGAGAGAGAGAGAGAGAAAGAAATAATACAAGTCAAAAGTTTCTTACTTAGCTGATTGATGTTACTTTCTGCACCCTGATCCCAGAGTTTCATAGTCGGACATTCCTGGATGCTGAAGGTAACATCAATCAGGTAAATGACAAACCTTTTACTTGTCTACAGTATTTACATTGTTCAGACTGTGGTACTCATCTTTATTGTCATATCCTTGGGGGACACATGGCCCAATGGATAAAAGCATTGGTTGAAGTAATCCACTGACTTGAGCAAAAGCTGTGAGTTTAATACCTGGCAACAACAGAATGGAACAAAAATTTTGATAGTTTGATTACTAAAGGGAATTAACTGAAATTGAGATATCCAGAAAAGGCATGGCATGTGAAACTAGAACAATCTACCTGGTGGATAAAATAAAGGGTTTTGTTCGAAATTCCAACATATAACACCTTAAGAAGGCTGGAACATTTTTTTTTTTTTCTCTCTCTCTCTCTGTCAGAGCATTTATGAGTAGCCATTAAAAATAATGTTTAAACAAATAAATTAAAAAATATATATATGGTGTAACAGCAAAATTGTCCACTTATTAGATTAAGCTCTTAGCCATTGTATCTTAGAAATGATTAAAGCTATCTTACTGGAATTCCCCAAGGTTTTTATAACACCACTGGACTCTATTTTGAGCAATAAGAATGTATAATTACTCTCTAAGCTTAACAGAAGTATCATGATGAAATTGACCATAAACAAAAATGACATATTCATCATTAATTAATCATAGCTAAGGATTGGAAACTCATGAAGGATTGAAATAAAATTCAAATATATATATATTCTTCCAAAATCATTTTCCAACTTATTCAAGATGATCTTTGCCCTCTCTAACCTTCTAACTTTCTGTCCTGGAGTAACATAGTGCCTCATAGGTTTCACATATGATTTCATTTTCAAGTCTTTTTTCACTGTTCTTTGGACTCTCATAGCTGAAACTCCTTTCTCATGTGCCAAATGTCTTATGAACTGAGTTTGATCTTTTCTAATTGATCTCTTTAGCTCTAAGTTGAAATGATGATCCTTCTTCTTGGTGTGAACTTCTGATCAAGTTTTCCTCTTTTTTCCTTTCTTTCCTGAAAGCTCACAGAAATTCTTCAAACTTATTCACTGTTCTCTTGATGGTTCTTGAATGTACTTTGAAGATGGAAGCCAGAGTATGAATGTTGATACAATTACTGAAGGCCTGAATGATCTTTTTCCTTTCACCATTGCTCAGTTGGGAAGTCAGTGTGTCTGATACAAAACAATTTCAACCTGCTCTCTTCTTAGCTGAATAAATCAAAGGGGTTTTTAGTGATTCTTATGACCAATGGTGTCAAGATGGCTAAATGTCTTATCTTAAAACCTCGGAAAAAAGAAGCTCAATTAGTTTAGTGGTTTTTTTTTAGATATTAAATATTTTGTGGGATGGATAATTATGCTGTTACATGATTTGGACAATTTTGCTGTTACACTAGGTATATATAAATATAATTTGCATATCATATCTTTTATGTATTTTTATCTTGTGTCAGACTAGTGTAATTTCAGAAAATCTCCTGTACATATGCACAAACATGTCATATTGTGCATGCTATTTGTAAGGAAGGCTGAAGAATAAATCTGCTGAAACCCTGTGATTATAACAACAAATTTGAGGATGCTTATTTGAGATAATCACTGAAAAATAGTAAAAATTCTTGGAAACATGAATCTGAAGTTGTCCTTCCACTTTCATAGAATGGTTCTTGCCTGAAAGCTCACAGGAATTGAGGGTACACTACACCCCAGCCCCAAAGGGAAAGACGAGAAAATACTGAATATTTTTCTTGTTTCTTCAGGGAGAGGGGAAAATTGCAACAGTGTAGAAGCATTTTTTTATTTATTTTGAAAACCATGATGCCTTGAAATGAATTTCTGTATATAAATATCTTCTGCTTCAAAATGGCAGTACACACAGACATATTGTTTGTAATGTATACGTATAGTGGGTAAACGAATGGCAAATAGTAAAAAAAATAATCCCCTCACCCTCCTAAAAGTAATTTCTTCAGACTAATAATGGTTTTATTAATAAAGTCATCCCTATCTATCTATCTATCTATCTATCTATCTATCTATCTATCTATCATAGTCTGTTCATAACTATCTATCTATCTCGAGGCGGTGTAATGGTTAGCAAGCTTGTCTCGCTAGAACAATTACAACTGAGTCGTGAGTTTGATCCTCACTGGGTGCCCCATACTTTCGGCCTTGTGCCACATCTAAGCTACGCTTAGAAAATCACTATCTATCTATCTCATTCTGTGCGTATCTATCTCATTCTGTGCATACCTATCTATCTATATTATTCTGTGCATATATATATGTATGAGATAATGATATATATTTTTATATATCAAGAACAGTATTGAGGAAATTTTATGACAAAGTTGCAAAAGTTTACTTGTGATGCATTTCATCCTTCAGGACTTCATCAGACAAATTTCTTATGTTAGTAGGACTACATACGTGTATGGCAGAGGGGTACTGGAAATTTTAGAATATTTTTTTTTGTCAGCCAAATTCATTTAGAGTCTTTTTCTATTTCTTTCCATCATTTTTGTAAGTCGGTATTCCACACCATGATATTAGAAGATCTGCCAGGAAGGGTGATATATTGTAAGAGCCAGGGTGCAAGTTTACTGTAGATGACCTTGTGATTAAGGCACTCTCTAGACATTTATGTTATAGTAAATTGTTTTCTCTTTTGATCAGAGTAGCATTTTTCATGTTAAAATTATGGTCAGTGTCATTATGGTGGACAACCAAAGCATTTGACGTATTGTTTTGTAAAATGTCCCTTTTGTGTTCATATAATCTTTCTTTGAGGTTTCTCCTATGTATTTTTTTACAACAATTATTACACTTGATGAAGTAAACTCCTCCTTCAAGTTTTTGTTTTATAGTTTTGTTTAGTATTGACTAAGACTTTTATTGTTTTCAATTAGTAGTAATGACATTTATGTTGATTTTAGATAGATTCTTTTTGATTGTAGATGTTATAGAATTAGTAGGCAGGATAATATATTTTTTCATTCATTGGGTTTCAGGAGGGACCGTTTTTTGGTTTTGGGATATTTTGTGGGCCTTCTGTTTTGAATTCGATATAAAATAATTAGGGTACCGAAGAAGTTTGAAAGTGTTTTCAATGTATTTCGCTTCTTTGTGTAAATAATCCAAGCTGCATATTCTTAGTGCTCTTATGTAGAATCCGATGATTATGCTGGATTTTATTTTGTTGTTATGATGGGAATAGAAATTTATTAGGTGATTTTTGTTGGTTGATTCTGGTGGACACAGTGTTTTAGATTGCTTTTAATACAGTGTAGCTTGATATCTAGGAAGAGTAAGAAATTAAGTTCTTCCATTTCGTGTGTAAATTCTATTGTGTGTTTGACTTTATTTAATTGATCTACTAGGTCAGGTAATTTAGTATCAATAGAATGTAAAAATAGAGCATCATCAGTATAATGGAAGTATGTTTGTGTAAAATGTTTTGAAAAGGCCCGGATTCAAGAAATTCTAAGAAGATACATGCCATACACCACTGAGTGGCAGTCCCATTGGTAATCCAAATATTATTTGTAACGATCATTATTAAATACTAGCAGTAGAGCTCGGCATTGCCCGGGGATGTAACAGTAAGAGATAGATCAAGTATTGACCATCATAAAGACTGAAAAATAAAGAAGTTTATAAACGGTAGAAGTTTATAAACAGTAAATTCGACCTTGTCTACCGTGAAGGTTCTTTGTGGCTGAGACGGTTAAGGCACGTCAGCGTATATGACGGTTCCAGATAGGATGCAGGTTCGAATCCTGTCAAAGAAATTAATATTTTATGAAAATTTCTCGGACATTCAGGCGGTAAATGTTATTTAATACTGTTCATCATAAACATGGCATTTGTTTAAATACTTGTATCTATAAATAACAACGTTAAACATAAAAATGTCTTTAATAAATATATATATATATATATATATGATATTTTATATATGTGGTACTTAGTGGAAAGTGCTCAAATAGCTGTACAATTTATTATCATTATTATTATATATATATATTCTTCTAGCCAATTCATATATATATATATATATATATATATATATATATAAATATAAAAGTGAACATTGTTTCATGCTACCCTGACGATTGCATCCAGCATGAAACAGTCTGTCGCCTCTGAGTGTTGACTTCAATGTTCACTTTTATATTTATATTTACATACGCTCTATCTCCAATATTGAGCACTTTATCCCATAAATATAGCACACTTTAAAACTTTATTTCTTATATATATATATATGAGAGAGAGAGAGAGAGAGAGAGAGAAAGAATTAATACATGTAAAATATTTGCCCCTTAGCTGATTGATGTTACTTTCAGCATCCTGACTCCAGAGTTTTGTAGACAGACCGTCCACTCCTCAGGGGTATCAGCAATTGACTGCTTATATTTCTTGTTTTTTTCTTTTTTATATGCACTTTTTATTGGTGCAAGTTTTATTCATAGTCTATTTATTCCTGCATGTGCACATTCATGCATATGCACCCATTTGTGTGTATGTGTTGAATGTTGTTATTTGTCCTTTTTGTTGTTTTTTTCAATTTACATTCACCACTTATTGGATTTTTTCTCTTTTATCCTCATTTCTTTCAGTTGTAGCTATTTTGACTCCTAGTTTTCCAGACATATACTGTCCTTTTTAAATAATCACTTTAAATGTTACTATTAGTGGATAACTATCCATATTTGAGTAGACACTGTTTATTTATTAAACAGTATATTTATTTTCATCTACTGGCCTGAATATTGGAGAAATCTTATAAAAGAAAAATATGCGCTCTCCAGCAGGATTTGCATGCTCCTGAGCCGAGGGAACCATCATTAGATTTGATGTGCTCTAAACCAACTGAACCACAAAGAACTTAGCCAGTCAGGCAAGGCTGAATATTGCCTTTAAGTGAAATTCTTCTCGTCACAGACTCAAAATTTTCATATCTGCTCATTTTCATATACAAGTGAGGGCATATTTTTCTTTAATAAGATTTCTCAAATATTCAGACCCATAGATGAAAATAAATAAATATACTGTTTAATAAATAAATGGGGCATCTACCTAAATATGAGTATCCACTAAAAATAACATTTAAAGGGATAAAATCTATTTACACTATTTACATTGTGTGGAGAGTTTTCCTCATCTTTATTGCCATATTAATGACTTTTTAGCCATTGTACACTCCGGCGTTCTGAAGGTGATATTTCTTGAAAGAAAGACAAAATGTACTGCCATATAGAACATAAATGGAATCATCTGTTTATGTAAATAAGCAGAGTCAAGTGGAGGTGAGGAGAGTTAGCATTAAGTCAATTGCTAAGTGTACCTTTGTGTAGTAAACCTTCTATTTCATTACTTACCTACGAGTTTGTCTTCCTTATTTATTTCCCTCTGTTGTCTCAAAAACATGAGCTACAACATCTACAACAGTTTAAATGTTGTGAATATTACAATAAAGATGAGGGAAACAGTTTGAACAATGTAAATAGTGTAAATAGTTACAATGCAGAAATATTGATAGTGATAAAATCTGTCAGATTAATAAAATAAAAATCCATTACTTCCTTAGAATATACATATATATATATATATATATATATATATATATGAAGAAATATAGTCTTAAGGTGTGCTATATTTATGGGATAAAGTGCTCAATATCAGAGATAGAGCGTGTGTAAATATAAAAGTCAACATAGAAGTCAACACTTAGAGGCGACAGTCTGTTTCATGCTGTATGCAATCGTGGCCTGACGATTGCATATAGCATGAAACAGACTGTCGTCTCTGAATGTTGACTTCTATGTTCACTTTTATATTATTATATATATATATATATATATATATATATATATATATATATATATATATATACAGCGTGTCTCAAAATAATGTATACACTCTTTAAATATTAATAGTTAATAATACATTAGCGTGATGTCAGAACTTATATGGATGAAAATATACAAAGATTGGAAAAAGAGGGACAGTTGAATACCCACCTAGATTACCAGATTTGACACCCTTGGATTTCTTTTTGTGGGGGTTTCTAAAAGACAAAGTTTACAGCAGGAAACCTGAAAACAATTGCTGAAATGAGAGTAGCAATTGAAGAAGAATGTGCTCAAATATCAGAGGAAATGATACTAGATGTTTGTAGGTCTATTTCTTCAAGATATGAAAAGTGTATTGAACAGAATGGCAACCAGTTTGAGCACTTGATGTGAATTCATCATTATATGAATATTCTGCCATTGACCCAAATAGCTTCTATCTTATTAAAGTTAATTTTCTATATTTTTTCTTTTTTCTCAAATTCTTTAAATGTGTATTCTTTCTCTTGTATTAATCTTATAGTCAAAATACATAAATTGAATAAGTTATAACGATTCTAAGAGTGTATACATTATTTTGAGACACCCTGTATATACATACATATATATATATATATATATATATATATATTATGGGATCTTACCCATAATAATAATAATGGACTATTCCATACTTGATAAATACTGCGCCTCAGGAGTAGGCAAGGAGTCAGTCGTTCAACTCTGAACCGACTGCACGGTTAAACTCTCTTCCCACGGGCGGAGGAACCCGAAGGAGGCTACGCCCAAGGGCGGAGTCTCCTTCGGGAGGTAAACCGCCCAGATCCCGTTTATCACGGGTTCAAATGGGCTATTTTTGGCCGAGCCTAATGGCTTGGGAATTGCCCACGTTAAAAAGGCCTTGTGCCACATCACACCCTCGTGTGGGGGGGGGGGTGACTGAATATCGTCAGTCGCTCAAGTCTTGACTGTCTGATCAGTTGAACTCTCTGCCTTCGGGCGGGGAGGAACCCGAAGGAGGCTACGCCGAAGGGTGGAGTCTCTTTCAGGGAGGTAAACCAACCCTGAACCTGTTTATACGGGTTCAATGGGCATATTTTTGGCTGAGCCCACGGGCTCAGAGATCCCATGTTAAACTGGCCTTGTGCCACATGATGCCCACGTGGGGGGGTGACTAAGTATAGTCAGTAGTTCAAGTTGAGTCAAGAGCCGAGTCAGAGGCAGTCCGAAACAGAGTCGTGTTCAGACAAATACTGCAAGACATTGGAATAGTGATACTGGTCGAGACTACATTGTTCTCTCTACTAAACCTGATTGTTCATACTAACACTTCTCTGTATATATTCCTGTTTGTAATATATCTATGTTATTCCATACCTGTGTTTGAGTTCTTTATTGGTTCTACTTTGGACTATCACCGTGGTAGAAAGAGCTGGACCATAACAATATCCAAATGTAAAAGAATGAAAAGAATATAAATTCAAATGTTCATAACATTAATTTAAAAAAGGGCTCAATACAAGAAGTATTTAAACGTCGAAACAAATATTCATTATTGTGGTGGTAACTTGCATGTTTCAATGTAACAGCTTAGAATATATATATATATATATATATATATATATATATATATATATAAAAATATAAAAGTGAGCATTAGTGCACTAAAATTTTTGTATACCTAAAATCGATTAGTGCATGCATAATACTTGATTAGTTTTCCTGTAGTTTTTTTACTGCAGTTTTTCCTGCTTTCGATCTCCTCCATAATCATCCTCAGGGGTGAATTGTGGAGACAAACTTATTGTAACTGTGATTTTTGAAAACATACATGAACACATTCTGTTATAATTTTTTAAAAATTTTAAAGTACTTGGGTAAGGCAAAACTATGGTGCATTCCTTCATGAATTCCAATTTAACATCAAAAGGCTAATCAGGGAACAAGAAAGGATTATTATAAAAACAAACAGACATAATATACCTATATTATTCAATGAAACATGTTTGAATAAAGATATACTGCCTAAATACACACACAAACACGCACACACACACACACACATATATATATATATATATATATATATATATATATATATATATATGTTGTCTGTTGGCTCCTATAAGAAATACATTTGCCCTTTAACAGGTCTTGTTTTAGTCTTGTGGTGTGACATGCGACCTTCCTCACCAGCAGAAAAGTTATTGGGGCAGCTGTTTTAGATGCCAATGATCCACCCATGTGTCAGTTTATACTGGGTTACATTTCCCCAGTAGCAGGCCTAATCTACTGACCTAACATCAAATAAGTGGAAATAATGTGATATTTATTATTCTGGGTATAATGGACTGAACCTTTTTGAATTATAATAGAATGTCATTTTGTCTGATGCCAAATTTGGTTTTATCCAATAGGCATGATCTGAAGTCACTTTAGCTCATGATTTTTTATATTGTTTTCTGACTTTATCAATTTCACATTTGAACCTGTTGTAAGCACTAGCTTCATTATATTAAGATTTTAATAAATTTTTACAATCCTTGTTTTCTTTCTCTTTTCTAAGGTAAATCCTGGAAGCATTGCAGAATTGTCAGGACTCAGGGCAGGTGATGGTATCTTGATGATCAACAACACAAATACTGACAGCCTCACTCATGAACAGGCCAAGATGGAAATCATTCGTTCTGGCAATGAAATCAATTTATTGATACAAAGGTAAGAATACAATTTTTCTGTTGTTGAAAGTGGTAAAGTAACTGTACAAATAGTAAACTGTAGTTTTTTTTTTTCAATGAGTAATTATAATACAGTGATTTGTTCAGCAATGATTAAAAAAATGGCTTTGAGCATGTGAAAACTGTGGGTTCAGGCAAAGACCAACCTTCTTTAAACATTGTGGACTAGCACAAAGAACACTACCAAATAACAGACACCACATCACTTGATGGCTACCAACAGCACCAACAAATAAAATAAACAGTACAAGCAACTCAAAGAGAAAATAACAACATAATATCAGAATGCTAACATTCTACACATTCAAATCAAAGGTTCAGAAGGAAGCCTCCATTAATATCAGAAAGAGCGATAACAGTGTTTTAGAAGAAAGATTTGATAAATTTCATCAGAAAACAGTAGTGTCTGTTCGGTCAATGAATGCCAAATGTTTCTTTAGAGGGAAACGGCTAATATCTAAACTGTCAGCAGTATACAACTGCTTCCCAAGGTTAATGGTGAAAAAAGCTTTGAGCAAGTAAAAGCCTGAGAATCTTGGCAAAGAATATTCTTTTTGAACATAGTGGACTGGTGCTACAAAATCACAAACAAAGAACTGTACCAAGTCCACAAGTAATGGTATTCTCAGCATCATTCTGTTAGACCACATTTCTGTTGCTTTTAGTCTCTTCTTCTTAAGATGAATGTCCAGCATTTACTTACTATATAGGAAGATTGATATCCTCTCCTCTTGATTATTTCTCCCTTTCTCTACTCCTTCTGCTTTCATGAATCTTTCTCCCACTTGACTCTTTCACCCCTCCTGTACTCTTTCACTTCTTCTCTACTCTTTCTCCCCTCTTGGCACTTTCTACCCTTTTGGCACTTTCTTCCTTCTTGACACTTTTTCTCCTCAAATCTTACTCACCTTCTCTACTCTTTTTTTCTCCTCTTGACTATTTCTCTTCCTTGTATTTTACTCCTCTCCTGTACTCTTTCTCTTCTTTGTATTTTTACTCCACTTCTATACTCATCTTCTGTACTCTTCCACTCTTTCTTTACTGTTTCACCTCTTCTTCACTCTTTCTACCCTTTTGACTCTTCCTGTACTCTTTCTCCCCTCTTGACTCTTTCTCCCCTCCCGTACTCTTTCTCCCCTCCCATACTCTTTCTCCCCTCCCGTACTCTTTCTCCCCTCCTGTACTCTTTCTCTTGACTCTTTCTCCCCTCCTGTACTTTTTCTCCCCTCCTGTACTCTTTTGCCCCCATCTTGACTTTTTTCCCTCTTGACTCTTTTTCACTTGGCGCTTTTTCCCCTCAAATCTTTCCCCACTTCTCTACTCTTTTTCTCCTTTTGACTTTCTCCCTCCTATACTCCTACTCCCCTTTCTCCCTCCTATACTCCTACTCCTTGACTCTTTCTCCCCTCCTGATTTCCTGTCCTGGAAGAATTAACCTCTTTATGTCTTCCTAGTTTTTTAAAAAGAGAGTAACTAAAAAAAAGCAAAAGAAACATGCTTGTAGATATTGTAATATAAGACATTTTATTGGAAACAAAGGTTGGAACAAAGGTTTGTAACATTTTTTAAGCAAATGCCAAAGACAATATTTAGATATTTTTACATTTATTTATTCAACCACATGTGTCCCATTTTGTTTTAATACTTTTCCAAAATCTGAGACAGCTCCATAATTCCCTCCTCCCATTTGGCTGTAATGCATGTGCATGGTATACCCTTATCAGACTTGTCCACATAATAGGTATATTTATTGGGCCTTTTATTTTTGTTACTACAGCAACATTTTTGTAATGTGCTGCTCTTTCACTCAAGCATACTTTATGTTACCTAAAGAATCTGAATGTTCATATTTATAGCCTTGTGCCATACTAGGCTAAGCTTATCAAATACCTGTATTCATTGTCAGTTATAATGGTTGTATCACTTTTCTTGATTCTGAGTTTAGTATTAAACAGGTGTTTAAACTGAGACACCTTGAATCATGCATGTTACACCAAGAATTACATTTTCTACCTCTCTGTTGGGAAGAATGCTTTTTCTGATTTTGGAAGATGACTGCAGCTGAAATGAAATCCTCAACAGCATAAGCTTGACATTCTTATCAGCCTTTTGCTGATAAACAAACACAACTCAAGGTGAACAGAAAGACTTCTAGTACCATAATCCTGCATTTTTTTCTCTACAGTAAAAAAAAAAGAAAAATGTTATTTTTTTTTATTTCTGTCCCTTCCCAAACAAAAAAAAATGTTATTTTTTTTTATTTCTGTTACTTCACCCTAAAATAAAATTATTTTTTTTTTATTTCTGTCCCTCCCCCACCCCCATTGACAAAAAATGGTATATTTTTATTTCTACTCTTTTTCTTCTTTTGACTCTTTCTCACTCCTGTGCTCCTACTCCTCTCTTAACTCTTTCTCCACTCTTCTTTTTTTGCCCCCTTTTGACTCTTTCTCCCCATCTTGAATCTTTTTCCCCTCTTAACTCTTTCTCCCCTCTTGATTTATTTGCCCCCTTTTGGCTCTTTCTCCCCATCTTGAATCTTTTCCCCCTCTTAACTCTTTCTCCACTCTTGATTTATTTGCCCCCTTTTGGCTCTTTCTCCCCATCTTGAATCTTTTTCCCCTCTTAACTCTTTCTCCACTCTTGATTTTTTTGCCCCCTTTTGACTCTTTCTCCCCATCTTGGATCTTTTTCCCCTCTTGACTCTTTCTCACTTCTTGACACTTTTTTCCTCAAATCTTTACCCCTTTCTCTACTCTTTTTCTCCTTTTTGTCTATGATAAAAATAAAAAATGTCATATTTCTATTATCCAGCCCACCAAAAAATGCTATTTTTTTTATTTTTGTCCTTTCCCCACCAAAAAAATAAAAAAAGTTATTTTTTATTTCTCTTCCTTCCTCCCACAAAACGATTTTTTTTTATTTCTGTCCCTCCCCCACAAAAAATAAAAAATGGTATTTTTTTTATTTCTGTCCCTTCTTCCCCCATAAAAAAATGGTATTTTTTTTATTTCTGTCCCTTCTTCCCCCATAAAAAAATGGTATTTTTTTTATTTCTGTCCCTTTCCCACCCCAAAAAGTATTTTTCTTATTTCTGTCCATCCCTCAATGATATTTTTTTATTTTTCTCCCTTCCCCCAAAAAAGAAGTAGCAAAACAAGATTACATCACAGTCATTGGATATATCAGCTCTCTCCCCACTGTCCCACAAGCTAGACAGGTGAGTTATAACTGAGTCGGTTGCCCACATACTTATTTGGTTTGGTATCTTTGCATACCACTGACTTAATCATGATTCAGAAAGAGCTTCATTGTCCTATTGAAGAGGATTGATCTTACACAGCAGTTCAACACTCTTTGATTTTAAAGAGATTTTCTTGTTTCTTAATACTTTGCTTAGCTTTTGGAAGGCACCTTTTGCTATTCCGATGCACTTTCAGATTTCAGTATCAAAATTTTCTTTATTTGTTAAATCATTTCGCAGATATTTAAAATTTTGTATCTGTTTGATTCTGAAATCTCCAGTTTGTATCTTGCATCTTTGACTTTTTCTCTTACTTTTCTGTTTTCTTATAATTGATGATTAGTCCTTTCTTCCCACTATCCTTTACTACCCTGTCTTGGAGTTGTTGCAGTTTTTTTCTATGTCTGCCAACAACACATTGCCATCTACGTATTTCTAATCCTCTTAGGATAATTTCACTGTAGGTTGAATAAAACTGTTGAAAAGATCTATCCTTGTCTTTTGCTCCTTTTCTATTTTTTTGTACCAACTCAACTCATTTTCTATCTGGCTTCAAGTGCTTTGCTCCTAGTATATTCTTATATCTTTCTCAAATATGACAGTATATTAGTTGGTAGATTTCACCTAAAGGTCTTAGAGCCAATATATATACACACGTACACACACATATATGTATGAACTTGTTAGCAGTCAATATACCACATAACACCCTTGAGCGCTTAACTTTGGAGCAGGTAGAATGAAGATCAAGGTGTTTTAGTGGACTCAGCAGTTTTCAATCTGCTTTTCTGAATCATCTTCAAGAAGCAAGAGTAAGATCTAAAAGGTCAGCCAATCTAAAAGTGATCTCATTTCACAATCCTCACACTTGCTCCATATGTGGCCTCCTTTGTAAATCACTAGCGGGTCTTAAATACCACTTAAGATTATCGCACAAATTTTCATAACTGAATCAATAAGCTGTCAGATCCTCCCAACGGGAGAGTCCTTTGTATACATATATATATAAATAATATGTGGGATAATGATATATAAATTTTGATATATCAAGAACAGTTTGTGAAAGAAAAGATGTATGACAAACTGGAAAAAGTTTTTGTGACATGTTTCATCTGATGAAGTTCTAACAGATGAAATACATCACAGAACCTTTTTTTTCAATTTATCATACATCTTTTCTTTTATATATATATATATATATAAAGGGACAATGTGCATAAAGGAAAACTAAGCTGATGCATTTCATCCTCTGAGGGACTTTATCAAGGACTTTAGCAAGAATTTTATTTTTTAATAAGTGTTTATAATTTGCTAAAATCCCACAGAGGGCAAAATGAGTTGGCTAGATTAAGTTTTCCTTTTCTCTCTCTCTCTCTGTGTCTCTCTGTCTCTGTCTCTGTCTCTCTCTGTCTCTCTCTCTTTCTCTCTCTCTCTCTCTCTATATATATATATGAAATAGAGTTCAAAGCCTGAGGTCACCCTTGGTAATTTGTTAAATTGGCTCAGAATAGTAGCTGTTTTGTACTTTAAATAAGAGAAAATTATTATAAAAATTATTAAAAAGCAAGACATAATTTTTAATTAGAAATTTTATATAAAATAAAAGAAATTTGATAATTAAATTTTGCTCTCAACAAAATATCCTCCTTTAGCTTGATTACTGCAGCACAATTTTTTGGTATTCATTGAAAAATTTTCTCAAAGTATAAGTTTGATGATTGATTCCATTCTTTTTTCAATAACTCTAAGAGCTTTTTCCATTTTTTTTTTCACTCTTCTGTCAAGTTCATCCTATGCTAATTGTAGGAGTGGCTTCAAACTTTTGAATTGTAATGTGTTTATATATATATATATATATATATATATATATTTCGGTCTGACGATTGCGTCTAGCATGAAACAGCCTGTCGCCTCTGAGTGTTGACTTCAATGTTCACTTTTGTATTTATATTTACATATGCCCTATCTCTGATATTGAGCACTTTATCCCATAGTATATCACACCTTAAGACTATATTTCTTCATATATATATATATATATATATATATATATATATAGGTAGCATATCTTCATTAAACATGTTTCATTGAAAAATATAAAAATACTCTCTACTTATTTTTATACTGATCCTTTCCAGTTGTCTAATCATAAAATTTTAATATAATAAAAATATATATGTTCAATATAACCAACACTCAACAAAATTTATTAATAATATAGCAACAGCATATAAAAGTGCATATAACATCCTATATTTCTACTAATTTCCGGTTACCTTCCTTATATTAAACCACTTATTTCACAAAATATTCCATAGCTACAAGAGATAAATTAAAATTTTATTACAACTATAGCAGACTGTGTTTGCACATGTTTTTAAAAGTCTCTATCACAACAGAATGCAGATTTTATTACAATAAGTTTGTCTTTGTAATTTATCCTTGGCACTACGTGACCATTATATAGGAATCAATGTGTCACAAAAGCATATTCAGCATCAGAACTCTGGAGATGGAATTAAAATTATTACAAAAAATGCATGATGCTTGTATTCATCTTATTGCAACATAGAATGGAAACACATTGAAGAGAAGGAAAACTATTGGAAGATGTTTTTAAAATTTGCTGTGTCTCTGGTATTTGAAAATAATTCCAATGGGATTAGAAGATTGATGTTTACAAGTTGTTTGTCCGATTGTTCTGTTAAGTGATCTCTTTAATATATTTACCTGATGAAGGCAGGTAGTAGTGAACTGAAGCCTCATCTGCAAATGCATGTGAATTTAATCTTACTACTGCTGTTTTATCAGCTGCTGGAGATTGTTTACACTGACATCCGAGAAGAAAACTGGGAAGGTCAGAAGATTGTGAAGGTCAGAAGAGACTGGCACAAACACATTTTGAAAAGAAACAGAAACATGCATACCACATCAATTTGCATCTACGCACATGCAAGTGATGGTCTAAAACTAATGCCTCCAGAGAAGAATTGCCTAAAAATTGAATTTGCATTCTTTTCCAAAACTAATTTAACAAAGTTTACCATTCACCCATTCTTTGAATATTCTTAGTGTTATAAACATTAACTTCCCTCAACTTGGACTCTTCTGGAATTATCCACCATTAGCTGTACTATATATATATATATATATATATATATATATATAGTACAGTATATATATATATATATATATATATATATATGGCACAGTATATATATATATATATATATATACATATATATATATATAGTTTTATTTTTATGTAATTCATTTATATGCTATATGATAAATATATTTAGCACTCTTTTGTGGATCAGTTTTAATATTTTATATTAGTAGGATCTACTTGGATTACTTACATATGGATTTTTACCTATATATATATATGTGTGTGTGTGTGTGTGTTTAGGCAGCAATCATTCTTTCATACACATTTCATTGAATATGATAGACAAGGTGTGTTGATTTAGTTTTTTATACAATTTCTCATATGATCTAATAATTTTTTTCTTTTCAAAGGATAAATTATATAAATTAATAATATAAATTAAATTTTTATGTAATTTATCATCTGAAAAAAAAAAAATTATTAGATCACATCAGAAATTGTAAAAAAAAATAAATCAAAGCACCTTGTTTGTCATATTCAATGAAAAATATATATATATATATATATATATATATATATATATATATATATATATATAATGTCTATAGTCAAATAGTGTAAAAAAACATGAATAGTCCAATTTGCAAATGAAAATATACTAAAAACATCCAAGTAGGTTGAAAAAAATCACCCAGTGTCGTAATGTATAAACAAAAGAAAAAAAAAACAATTAAGTAGATTAGGAAAAAAACATAAAGTGCTCTATACACAAGTAGACCAGATTCTGTCTATATTTCTGAGATGAGCTATTATGTACATTATTTACATTATTCGGACTATTGTTCTCATCTTTGTCGCCATATTTGTCACAACATTTCGGCCGTTGTACACTCCGGCCTTCTTCAGGTGATTGGAATTTTGAACTGAACCCTTTATTTCAATCACTGGGGTAGACTGTTCTAGTTCCACGTGCCATGTTTGATGGATGTCAGTTATCAGTTATCTCCTGTTAATTTTCCCTCTGAAATACTCTATCTTCTTTACAAGATTGTTTTCTATTGACAAAATAGCCCAAGAATTTAATCTGTCTTCAGTCATGGATGACTGAATGTATGTTTTTAGAAGCTTTAGGGTACTTCTCCCTCCAGTGGCCACAAACAATCATTACATCTGCATCAACTACTCATTCATTTTTCTGTTGATCATGAAACCATAAGAGAAAGAATTAATTCTTTTTTCTTTGGAAGATCCCAAA